CCCAAATTCCTGCGCTTCTTACGAGGTTTCGAGCCTTGAACGCCGAACCCGCCGCTGGCGCCCCCCGGCTTTTTTGTGTTTAGCCGTCCGGGGTCTATGTTTTGGGGAAGTCATCTCCGCACACTCTCCGCAACCCCTTCTACACTGGATCTTTGGGGGAAATTCTGGGCGAGCAAAAGCTGGAGAGGGCGGGCGACGGGGAACCGGGAACTGTCCAGAGCCTAAGGTACGGTACGGAGTAGGAGAGGAGATTTGAGGGGCCTTTTCTGCCCTAGGCAACCAGGCTTAAACCTCATTTTGCGGAACCCTGGACGGTAGAATAAGGTTATCCCATGCCCTCCCCCAGGCACCGTAGTGACAGTACAATACGGAGTGAGATTGAGCGAGATGAACGAGATTACAGAGATGGGCGAGATTTTCTGGAGTCATCTTGAGGAATTGAAGGAACGGGAACGTCTACTCATATAGAAACGGCTTCTACGGGACGGCTGCTCTCATTCCTGATTACTATGACATTCTGATTGCGGAACTCAATTTCCTTTCGTAGCCCCTGTGCATGCAAGCATCTCACCGCAGGACATTAGACGCAATGCAACCGCTGCAACACGACATACTACGTACTGCGTATGTGCCCGCACACACTTCCACACATATTCCCAGCCTCCTGCTGAACTTGCCCCCATGTCCAAGTCTCCATACTGTTGCGTTACGCTTTGCCCAATTCACCGCGATACCATTGTTTACCACGTCTTCACACGAGCTTAGCCAAAGCCTACAGCGTAAAATTGACGGAACAAGAATTTGCAAAGTCATTCAAGAGACGGAAAAGACCAGTTGAGCCCGAGCGTCGAGACCAAAGACTCCGTCAAGCTTTTCCTTTGGTGGTGAGCCAAGCCCGGGTCTGGTCAAGTCGGTAGGATTCGCGCCGACGATATGGCTGCTTCGAGGCAAGACGGCCGTTTTCCTCACATCAACCAATCCCATCCCTGCATGCCCGCCGCCAGCCCGAAGCAGTTTTTGTGTCGTTAACATTTCCGCCCACCACCACGCTGGCTCACACACCACTCACCCCTTCCGCCGAGGGACCTCGTGGTCTGAGCCTCTTGTTCTTCGCCAGTCGCTGCTGAACCATTTCGTCTGCCCAGAAATGCGGCGACAAAAGCCCAAGAATCCAAGAAATGAGGCGGCCGGGAGAGCGCCCAAGTGCCATGCCAAGTCGCTCACTGCCGTCGCAGCCGCCATCCATTCTTGCTCATTGATAACCTCTCCTCCAAAACCACAATAATAGAGCCTCATCTCGCTCATGGGATCGTGTTTTCTCAACCGCTTAAACGCTTGATTACCAACACCGATTAGCTGACCTTTCGCCGCCTCGAGAAACTACAGACTCGTGTGAGACATTCCAACAAGATACTACTGACTAGAACTAGTCTCGCGCCTTATTCCCCGTTGCAGAAAACCACCAATCACTTCACTCAGTTCAAAGAACCACAGTATAGGCGCACGCCATCGCGCCGGGTCGACCTCGCCAGCCGTGCCAACCATGATAGTTCAGCCAGATAACTTCCCCGTTGGAGCTATGCATCCACACCCTTATTCCCACCTATCTTGCTGTCGGTTTCCTTCCGGTTGACCATCCATCAAAACCAGCACGCACATGTTCATGTTGTTGCCCCCATGGGTCCCCCAGTCGACGCAACGTTGTCCCCCAATCCCTAATCCTGACTCGTGCTGCTCTAGCCATGAACCTGCCCACTTTCTTATCCTTCTTATCCAATCTTTGTTACCCAAATTACGGTCTCATACTCCATCTTCTCCCCAGATATTGGGGCATACACCGCAGAAACGCGGAGTTCAGAAGGGGGGAAGAGAGCGAGCGTATGGGGGAGGTGTGGTAAACCAGGCCTTGCCAACATCGCACCTTGCCCTTCCCGCCACTTCGGTCGAATGATGTCCCAAATTGCATCCACTCCTCCTGGACTCCTGGCCATTCCTCGCCTGTCAATCGTCTGGTCCAAGCTGTGATCCGGCTCACCGAACCACACAGGACCCGGCAAGCCGTCTCCATACCCACCCCAGGGTACCTGGAGCCCAGGGCCCGTGGGGGTTTGGTTCTGGCTTTGGTCTCGTCGTCTCTTTTCGCGGGGAACCGAGATGTGGACCGGGGAAATGGAGAAGTCCTGCCTGCTTCCCAACAAGAAATCTTGGGGTAAAAGTGAGGAGAGAATGAGGGTGAGATTCCGGGGTTTGGCAGCCCAGATTGATACCACGTCCGGAAGGGGAAAGGAAGGAATCTGAAGCATTGCCTACGGTACACGGCTCGCTTTTCCCTAACACCTTACCACCCACCCATTACCATCCCTTCGGGGTACTCCACCTGAGATCTGCTCTTATATAGAACGAGGTAGCATCCTCTTTCTCCCATCTCTTGCTCTTCTCCTCCTGTAGGTTGCTCAGCTTCTTCCCTTCCTTTGCAGAGGTTAGACAAGACTCCGGACCCCAAAGCCCCCATCAAGTCAATATCTGAGACCTTTGCTGCGTCTCACTCACCTCGGGCCCTCACCACCACACCATTAGGAACCTTCTCTCGTTCAGTCTAATCTGAACAAGATGGCCTCTACCGAAGTCGCCGACCCGGAGCTCGTCCGCCCCATGAGCGGAGGCGGCCCGGGCAAGAAGTCCTTCCACGAAGTCGAGCGCACAATCTCCAACGAGAAGGCCGACCACCAGCGCCTCGAGAACGTCGACAATGAGCTGTCAAAGTACGTCGGCGACGGCTCCATCACCGTCTCCAGGGAACGCAGCGATCAGCTGCGCAAGATGATTGATAAGCGCGTCCTGGTCATCATGATCGGCACCTACTTCCTCCAGGCCATCGACAAGGGCACAATGTCCTTCGCCTCCATCATGGGCCTCCAGGAGGACACCCACCTCAAGGGCCAAGAGTTCTCCTGGCTCACCACCTGTATCTACATTGCCATCCTCTTCGTCGAGTACCCCCAGAACTACATCATCGCCCGCGTCCCCATCGCAAAGTACCTCAGCTTCTCCATCATCGCCTGGGGCGCCGTCCTCGCCTGCCACGCCGCCTGTACTGACTTCAAGGGCCTCGTCATCGTCCGCACCCTCCTCGGTATCTTTGAGTCCGCCTGCCAGCCCGCCTTTGTCATCCTCTCCTCCATGTGGTACCGCCGCGAGGAGCAGGCGTCTCGTGTTACGTACTGGTACATGATGAACGGTGCCCAGCAGGTTGTCGGCGGTCTCCTTGCCTACTGCTTCACCCACATCAAGACCGGTCCTCTCAAGTCCTGGCAATGGCTGTTCCTGGCCTACGGTGTTGTGTCCGTCATCTTTGGTGTCTTCGTCTTCCTCTGGATGCCCGACTCGCCCATGCGCGCCAAGTGCTACTCCGAGGAAGTCAAGCGGGAGATGGTCGAGCGTGTCCGCGACAACCAGACTGGTATCCAGAACAAGACCTTCAAGCGCGAGCAGGCCATCGAGGCCCTCAAGGATCCCCAGGTCTGGGGTTACTCTCTTATCGCCCTGTGCACCACCCTGCCCACTTCCGGTCTCGGTGCCTTTGCCAACATCATTATCAAGAGCTTCGGTTTCAACACGCTCGAGGTCCAGCTCTTGGCCATGGTTCTTGGTTTCTACATCATCTTTGTCCTTCTCGGCTCCGTCTGGCTCGTCAAGAAGTTTAACCAGAACCTCTACGTCATGCTTGGCTTCTGTGTCCCGTAAGTCAAAACCCTTCTCAGGGTATCACCGTCAACTAGTCACTAACAGACCTCGCTAGTTCCGTCATCGGCACCGTCCTCCTCATGACCGTCCCCAACAACACCTTCTCCCAGCGCGTCGGCCTCCTCATCTGCTACTACATCACCCTCTCCTTCTGGTCAGCCCAGACCCTCGCCCTCTCCCTCATCTCCCGAAACGTCGCCGGCCAGACAAAGAAGCAGTTCGCCGTCGCCATCAACTTCATCGTCTGGGCGGCCGGTAACGCCATCGGCCCCCAGGTCTTCCTCAAGTGGGACGGTCCCCGCTACTTCATTGCCTTCGCCACCCACTTGGGCTGCTACGCGCTTCTCATCATCGTCATCATCTTTCTCCGCATCTACCTCTCCCGCGAGAACAGGAAGAGGGATGAGATGGTTGCTGCTGGTATCCCCGAGGCCTCTCCCGACTATACTGCCCACGCCTTTGAGGACAAGACTGACAAGGAGAACCTGTCTTTCCGCTATGTCTTCTAAGTATTAGATGCAAGTGGTTGTGTAATCTGTTTATGTAATAGCCAATAATGAAGTTTGGCTTCGTCAATATACCCAATATGTAATGCATTATCTTCTGATCTGCTTTCTCTCGCCGTGACAAGATTTCGTGCAACACTATCTTCCTGATGAGGAGTGAGATGATCCAACTCCAGTGATTAACTTTCGACAGTCCGATGCGCTCACGTTCATCCTGGTTTTATAAGTGTTTATGCGATTGCAAGCGAGGACAAACTCGCTGCGTTTTCACTCATCTCAGTTCCCAATCACCTGTGCATGCGATTTTGAAACTGTCTTAAGGACAACTGATCTCAATGATCTACATCTCATTCATGAGAAAATTCAAGTACTTCAACATGTAAGTCAGACATGGTAATGTAACAGGAACATGGATATCTGAGGGCGACTTCATGTTACCTTCAAGGATGAGGGATAAGAGAGAACATGGTGATGAGGCCCAATGCCAGGTATAACGTCGATTTAAGCTCTTTTAGCCTGTAAAAACGCCAAGTAAGTCGCTAGTCAGGTCCAAGAGATTCACCAAGAAATCTCTGGCAATCAAAATGTCTTGAGTGGCTTGCATCTTTGCTTGGCATTTGGAGTTGGGTATGGTTCCCCTCACCGGTGCCGCTCTTCACACACCCCTCCCTTGACTCTCACTCCAGCATCCCCCTGACGAGGTACAAGATAGCTTTCCCTCCATCTTCGTCCTCTCTCCTCATCGCCAAGCTACTTCTCGAAGGCCTTGGCAACTTCCACGTACGAACCCTTGCTGATGTCCTCCAAGATGCCCAGACCTCGGGGATCCCAGCCCAGCTCTTTTCTGGCCTTTGCACCAGACGCCCTATTCTCTGTAGACAGGAAGAAGGAGATAGTTTGCCCCAGCTGCGCCTGTGCAACCTCTAGGCTGATATTCCTCAGTGAAACATGAACAGCAGCAGCAATAGCCTCAGAGATCTGGAAGGAGGTCACATCTGTCGCCGAACTCGCGTTATAAATCTCTCCTGCTAGTCCCTTCTCAGCGGCTAGGAGAAAGAGTCTCGCCGCATCGTCAACGTGCACATTTGTAGTCCGGTTCTTCCCACCGTCGACAATCGTCACCCCGCCAGTCTGCGCTGCGATACTCATGAACTGCGCTACACCGCTGCCGCCCCGGCCGTAGACATAGGGCGCCAGCCGGACCGACATGACGCGAACCCCTCTCTTTTCGAGGTCCAGCGAGTGCAGTTCGGTCAAGATACGGGTGTTGATGGGTGCCGGGTCCGCCGGCGATGCCTCGGTAGTCTCTGCTCCGGTAGGGTCTGCCGCGACGCAGAGAGTACCGGACGTAACGACGAGGGGCTTGTCGGTGCCTGCCAGAGCATCGGCGATGGCGTCGACGGCTGCGGTGTCTATGGGTCTGAAAGTCTCGTAGGGCTCGCCACCGAATACATAAGCCGTGGCTAGGTGGATCACGATGTCTGCTGCTTTGCTTTCCTGGCGGAGGATCTCTAGAGAGGTCAGGTCACCTCGTACGGGTAAGTCAACATACCCACTTCCTGGCACCCCCCTTGTTTCTGGCACCACAAAAACGATGGGATCACAACCCAACCTCCTCATTACTATTAACTATTGATCCTCAACCACACCCACTACAATACAGC